CTGGAATGCAAAGCATCATTTATTTAGATTTCAGAAAAGTATATGACATGGTGCTACTYGGATTAGATCGCTGGGCAGAGCAGAGAGAGGAAAATGGATCATGAATCAGCCTGGGAACAAGGAGACAATTCTAAACTCGTTTTTTGATTTAACATCAAATCCCRATATGGCACACCTAATCCTGAAAGGAACCCCGTTTCTCCTCTGCCTACCCAAATAAGCTTGTTTTTGAAGGGGTGCTAATGTTTTTATTATTAGTAGTAGGATATAAATAATAACAAAAAGTTTTTTTAAGGCAAGTTAGAAAAGAATGGGGGTATAGATTTACAAATATAATTGCTGATTTGTTTCCCATCATCTAAACTTCAGGCTCCATCTGAAATAACAAACAGAAGCACCAGCGGCTCCCAACACCATGAAAGAATCCCATGGAGACCCACTTTTCCCTTCACACCCACTCTGGTTGTATTTTTGTTTTTTTGGATTAATACAGAGCAAACATACTGTGACTTCAAAATCATAATAATGCAGAATTGAAGCTTCAAGAAGCTGTAAGGAAACGTGCTCTTATATGGTTACCTTAATAACCCTTCYTTATTCAAAGGTAATGGCAAAGTATACATAGCTGTAGAGGCAACTCTAATGGGTCTATTTTTAATACAGGACAGCCCCAGGTGCCCTGAAAAACACCTGACTTCAGAAGCTTTCTTCTATTAAGGTAAATCTTGTACAAGTGGAGACCACTATAAATTAAACAAAGTACATTAAATTATACACAGCCGGTAATTTCTCTCACTGACAACAGGAAAGCTCTTATTTCCTTTGCAAAATTGCCACCAGCAACACCACCGCCCAGGGTGCACTCAGTAATCCATTCATGGCATGGAGGGTGTTTTGTCCCCTCCACACTCTCAGGAGGTGACAGTGGTTGTTACCTTGTCAGTTTAATAAGGATTTGGGGGTTGGTCGTGTAGCTCAGTGGTAGAGCGCTTGCCTAGGATGTTTGAGGCCCTGAGTTCCATCCCCAGCAAAACACACACACACACACACACACACACACACACACACACACACACTCGGACTCCTGATATCACCACTAAGACAAGTGACCATGTGAGGTCTGGGCTCCTGACCACTCTGTGGCTCTTAGGAAAGTCAGTCTAGAAATACTGGCAGCAACCGTGGCCAGGACACCGTGAGGCTCTGTGTTTATTCTGTTTCTCAGCTTCGGTGGCAGCTGTGAGTTTCGGATACCATCTGCCAAAGGCAAAAGCCTAGTTAACTGTGCTATTCTGGCTTTCTTCACAGCGCACGGTTCTACCACCCTTATCCTACTCTGCTCTTCCTCTGGCTGCAACCCTCTTTCTCCATCAGGCTGAAACCCGGTCCCAAAACCTGACTCCACCAGGGACCCCTCAGGCTCAGACTTCTTCCACCTGAAATGACTCTCCCCTTTGGTACCTCCCCTGCCTGCCTGCCCCCTGGCTTTACTTGGAAGGTACCTGGAAGAGAATTTCATCCCATGAGCAGGTTAGTCAGCCTTCCATTGCTAGGAAAAGCTCATAGTTTCAGAGGCTTCGGTCCATGTCACTGGGCCCAGTTGCTTTGGGCCTGAGACAGTACAGTACATATGGCAGAAGGGCCTGTTCACCTCATGGTTGCCAGGAAGTAGAGAGAGGGAGGGAGGGAGGGAGGTGGGGAGAGAGAGAGAGAGAGAGAGAGAGAGAGAGAGAGAGAGAGAGAGAGAGAGAAGGGTCCCAATATTCTCTTTAAGAGCAAGTTCCCAATGATCTAACTTCCTTCCACTAGGCCCCACCTCTTAAAGGCACCCCCCCCACACACACACACACCAGTGCCATGCTGAGGACCAAGCCTTTAACACATGAGCCTCTGGGGAAGGAGGGTACATTTCAAATCCAGACTCCAGCAGTATATACCGCTATCCAAGATACATTGTTGAAATAATGCTGCGTGTTTGCAGCATTTGCTGGGGATTTCTTAGCCTGGCACAGGCACAGTAAGCCTCATTACTTATGGTCTCTACCAATTGGGAACCTAAGATCATTCTCTGGGCTGACATTTATCTTTGTATTTTCTGTAGAAAGAAGAGGTTTGCTAAGTAAATAAAGAGTAGAAATAATATTTTAATGGCAATGTTTAAACTAGCTGGGAGAAGATTTCTAAGGATCCCATGGCTTTCATTTATATACTAACAACAAATTGTCTACCTGGTGGTCTCCTTTCCRGCTTCTTCATTTCTGCACAGCACTGTCATGCCCTGGTTCACCCCTCTTACGGAAAAGCTGAGCAGTCTCCTAAGCCAGTTGACTTGGCCTGTCCACTTCCTGTCCCCCTCCTCCTCCTCTGTAGCCCAGCCCTCACTGATGATGCTACCCCAGAACTAGAAGACTCTCACTGGGGCCCTCTTACCACACCCTCCAACATTCAGCCATCTGCTGCTCCAATGGTCTTCCAAATTTTTCTGTAAATATTCCTGACTCTTTTACCCCAGGACTTTGAGATTCTCAACTCTGTAGCTTCAAGTTCCCTGTTCGCAGCATTGGATTTAGCAGAGTACTGGATAAATGTAGGTTCACAATATCTACCTGAGACCCCTTAGGGCCAGATGTATTTCGGGATTCAGTTTCTCTGATTTCAGGATGATGATACAGTACATCCAACGTATTTTAGGTAGCATCCAAACAGCACTGGAGCAGCATTCATCAAGGATGTTGATATTTCTCCAACAAAACACATGAATTTCTCCCTTGTTGTAATATATAAATAGCTTTCCATTCTGTTTGGTCACAGAATAGTTTATTCAAAAAGCTTTTTTTATTTTTTTCACTTCAGAATTGTGTTACAGGATTAAGGAGCTGTAGTAGGTTTACCATGGCCATTTATACTGTCCAGACTTTAAATAATACGTTTTTCTTTAAAAGTCTCCATATTGCAGATTTTGGTTAATTCACATTGGTCTTCTCCACAGTTAGACCAAATTACTGAGGCTTTCCTTACCATACTGTGTTCAGACTATGAGAATTTCATGATCACAAGGCTGCCCTAGCATTTACAAATTTTCCAATTCCAGCTCTATTTCTAAAGCATTTTCACCTTGCTATTAGGAAACAAAAGTCCCCATTGAGTTGCTTATTTTAGCAAAATGTAGATGTGTAGTAATCATTTTGGTTGTCTTCTGCCTAAAGAAGGCTTTGCTCAAGAAGGATGGATTATCCTTAGTAGGGTGGATTTACATTTTTAAAAATCCCAGTTAGGCTGACCTACTCCCTTCCCACCCCCAGCCAAATAAGAGTTAAACACTTAAGTGTGAGTTTATCTAATGTGTAACCTAAGTCTATAAAGTGCTCTGCTCCACAGGAAAAAAAAAAAAAAAAGAAGAAGAAGAAAAAAAAAAAACCTCTACACACAGTTAAACATATACTAGTATCACTCTTCTGAACTTGACCAATAAGCCCTTCTTAAACACAGCCAAGCCAAACACTACGCAAGCGACGCAGGACTCGGGCTCGTACATACATCATGGGATGCAGGCCGAAWGGGTCATAGCACTCTAACAGGCAATTCCTAGGCAGTTATTTTGACATTAGAAAGTCACAATCCATCAACTTAACAGCGGGGCAATAATTTTGGGACCAGGGAGATGGCTATTCAAAATGACACTGTGGGAAGTAACAGTAGTTCTAAGAGCCCTGTTTGCGAAGGAAGACATAAACTAAGTGGAATTTCTTTCCACCTCTGGAACCAGCTATTATTATGTAATGTGCTCTTGTGTAAGCATGTTATTTCTGGGGGTTGAATTGAAAAGTTGTGCCTGTCAGGYCTAAAGAACATGTAGGTACCTGGACCTGGCTAGATGCATGCAGATGAGAAGAGATGGTCCCCCATGACAACACCTTAATGTGTGTCCAAACATTTCCACTGACCTATGGTACCCCAAGCCTACATTTTAGAAGATATAAGTTACCTGACTCTGCACACCACAAATATTAATCAATCCTCCAGTGCCCTATGATATGAGCCTCCTTGGGGAGATGGAAAACACCTGAGTTTTATCTTGAGGGATTACTGGAGCCAACAACCCCATGGTGAGCTCTTCCTAACCCACATATGGTTGGTCTCCCACTCTGTTCTCCTGGACCAGGATCCTCTTCCACCCTTCGCCAATGCTTCTGAGATTCTGTCAGCAGCTGGATGGAGTGACAGCTGAGAAGTTCCTGGCTGCTAGGCTGGTGATGAGACTGGGGTGAGAAGTGGGGAGGGGTTGTGGACTCCAGTGAATGGTTTCCCATGTTCTCATTTCATAATAACCCAGAGAGCTCACACATGAGCCCTAAGGGGTGGCCCTGCTGCAGATAAAAGGACAGTGCCACTTTTTTTTTTTTTTTAAACTCTGGAAAGGAGAAATGAAAGAGGAAGAATGGGTAAGAAATGCATACCGATGGCTGAAAAAGCAAACAAGAGCTTTGGATGGATACATGTAGATACATGTCTTGGAAGAGAGATGCAATCTGGGTGGTGAAGATTTTCTTGATCAGCTATGTTGCTTCTATGGAAACCAAAGTGGTCTCAGTAGCAGCCCACACCCTGCCAGAGTCACGACTAGCCAGAGTGGGGACTAATGTTCTTACCACAGTCCTTCCCTATCTTGCTGCTTGCCCGATATCCTGACAGCATGTAAGACAAATTATTTTCAGTTTATACTTTACTATTTTAAAGAAAAAGAAATTCACTGTATGGACAAAATACCAACAAGTAAGAACAATCAYCTCTTAAAGAAAAGATGAAGAGGTCATCACCGTCCACATCTTGTTTTAATAAATATTTGTGGCTGTTTAAATGGTGTTTCATGTTCTTTTCAAAAACTTCCCTTCATGGAAACAACTAGAACACATTAGCTCAAATATCTGAAAATCCACACATTTCAGAAAAGCTGTTCTTAAGCAACCAATAGAAGAACAAAGTCAATTTTGGTTCCATACCTGGAGCGGATATTCTTCCGTGAAGCACAGACTCACTGGGCAGCAGATCTTTTGAATTGGAGGTGAATGGTGATTGTCTAAATGTGTCTTCTGAAAAGAAAGGGCTGGGGGTGGGGGAGGAGGAGTGAGGTTTAGTAAATTAAGGTTATTTCAGTAAATTAAAGTTATTTAAGACACCCAGAGCATCTGGACCCAAATACACACACACACACACACACACACACACACACACACACACACACAATACTGCACAAGGTGTTGCTTTAAATAATGTTCAAAGATGATGATATTGTATTTAAGACAGAGAAAGACAAGTGCCATCTGTCCATTCTGCCTATTGGCTTTATATTTAGGATGCACAGATTAATCATCACCTTTGAAACACTGTTGAACTCATTGAGGGGGCAACCAAATGGTTATTTTACTCTTGCTCAATGCTTTATCAGTATGGTTTGCCCAAATAAAGACCAACTGCCTGGGTCAGAATCAGAAAGGCCTTATCTGTTTTTTTTTTTTTCTTTTCTTTCTTTCTATTTCCTCCATTGTGGAGATGGAATTGCCAGGCCTGGTTCACCCAAAATCTGTCATCTGACCTTGAGGGACTCTGGTCGCCACAGAAACTGCAACTGCAACCATAACCAGGAATTGGGTTTAGGCTGCAGGAGTGAAACCTGAGAGCAGCGGAGCAACCCTGAGCCCCTACTGCACCAGGTGGACTCAGAAGCAGGACCACCAGACTCCAGCCAGGGCTTTCCCCTCGTACCTCAGCCACAGCGAAGGCAAAGGTTTGGATGCTGTTAACGAAGGGGTTCTAACCCAGTCATGGGGTCCACCTTCCATCCCTCTAAAATAAACAGTTAAAAAAAAAAAAAAAAGTATGGCAATCCCAAGTCAGAATACGGCAGCATCCATCAGCATAGACCAGGAAAACAGGGAGCCCTATGTACACCCGAGAAAACTGAACCGGAGAACCAGGTGTCCAGGCGGTGGAAGGTCCATGGGGCAATAACCCAACCCTGGGACTGGAGGGGGACAACGAAGCCCTGGGACCGGGGTCACCTGGCGAATGGCAGAGGCAGGCTGGAGGCGCCTGCTCAGGGGAAGGCGGAGCCAGAACTGGAGCCACAGAGGGGAAGCACTCGGCTCCTTCTCAAGCCCCACCCCCARGGCCTACAGGGCCTCTGATTGGCTGAACCTTCCCAGTAGGCGGGGAAACGCCCCATTAAGGGATCCGCCCCCTGCAAACCGCAACTTGGAGGAAGAAACCGACGCCAGAGAGCACACGCCTAGGGCTTTTCAAAACATGGCACGAGGCTGTGATCACTATTATTGAATATTAAAAGGGGATTATTAAGATGAAATTGAAAGGCTTTTTTTTTAAAGTAAAATATACATTGATAGATAATAGAGTTTTCACGTGACTGTTAGACTAGATTTAATGCAATTGTGCCTGGCTTGCTTTTGATTTATATCATAAACACGAAACAATTTAAATAGACTAAAAAACTGAACTGGCTAGTCGGGCATAGTGGTGCACACCTGTAATCCCAGCTACTCAGAAAGCTGAGGCAGGAGGATGGCAACCTTTCTGGGAAACTTATGAGACCCTGTCTCAAAAAAAAAAAAAAAAAAAAAAAAAAAAGCTGGGGATGTGGTTCAATGGTACAGTGCACTTGAGTTCAATCCCTTGTGCCACAAAAACAAACAAGTGAATGACAAAAACTGGCTATAGGCTAGGGGTGGGGAGAAGGGAAAAGGTAGATTTGTAATTTTATACCAAATACCTTGTAAATTACAAGCTATAGAAACACTTTGAAAGATGAAGCAGCAAACCATGGTGGCTRAGTGCATGCACTGGAGAGTAGGCATGCACCTAGGAGCTGTGTGACATTTGACAAATTACTTAACTTCTCCGAGCCTTCATCTTGTCTACAAAATGGAATGATAATGTATGGGCATCTCACATAGGAACTGGAGGATTAGGGAGGGTACATGGAATGTACTTTGCATAGTGTCTGGCAAACAGTGAGTGCTCAATAAATGGGGACTATATTGTTTTAACTTGGTTCTCTCTATAGCCCAAAGGGGAGCATAAATGAATCAACTTTTCCACAGAAGTTAAGTAAAAGGGTAAAGTTCCCTTTGTATTAAAGCCATTACAAAATTAATGGAGGAAAGGCCACTCTGATTTTGAAGAGTTGGTTAGGTGCTGGGGGATTCGGCTAATTTTCAATCCTTCCATTAAAAATCTTGCTAAGGATCAAGACCTTCTAAGGGGAACGGAAGATTGCCAGTTGAACCTAGTGCAACCCTGCTCAATTCCAACATGATTCGCTCTGAAGCTCATACACTAGGTGACAGTGACACCCTGGTGTCTGAGTTTCCAGTCCACATGGGAAACACTGCAGGGGCACAGGGAGAAGGTCAGGCCACAGCCTTTTGCATGATAGTGACTCTGGCTGTAGAAAGTGCCTGGAGTCTGCAGGTTCAGGGGAGCTCATGGACCTGTAGTTCTGAAATGCTGACTCCCTTTTGGGAACACCAAGAGGGCCAAGAGCCATCTCCAAAAAGGGTGCCTAGAAATAGCAGTGCCACTGAGAAACAAGGCACCAGCTTCATTTTTACAGTAATGACTACAGTCGTTACAGTGGCTGCCCTCGGTTTTACAGTAACTGCTCAGCGAGTGCCTATGACACGCCAGGCCCTGGGAACAGAAGGGTCAGCAGCTGGCTATGGCTGGGGGTCTCAGGGAGCTGGAAGACCAACCCCATCTATAAATGGGATGTGCACAGGTGGCCTCAGCTGTGCAGGAGAGGGCACAGTGCACCACAGGGCTGGCCCGGCTGGGGAGGCCAGCAAGGGCCTTTCTGCAGGAGCCCACTGAGAAAAATAGAGAATACGGCTGCTGGGCTTCCAAGGAGTTGGGGAACATGCTCGGGTACCGCTGAGATGACAGCCAGTCTGCCCAGGTGGGAGAAAGCCCAGTGAGGAGCTGAGGCTGGACCYCAGGGCAGGGACTGTGGCTTTGTCCCCACAGTAGAGCAAGAACTGCAGCATCTCAAGTAAGGACTCTGGCTTCAGGATGCTCTGTGTGGCAGCGARGACTGGGGGACTTGCAGAAGACAGAGCAGCAGTCCACAGGGAACCTGGTGATGCTGGTGGCCATTGCTGCAAGCCAGCAGTGGCCCCTGCAGAAGAGGGAAGAGCTTAGAAGAGAAGGCAGGTAAAGATGACGGGCACGTTGAAAACCAAGCCTAGAAAGAGGTGAAGAGGCTGCCATGCTACGCGCACGGGACAGCTTTCTGGGTTTTGCTACGCTGTGGCCACAGGTGAGCTCTGCATCTTCCATGGGGTGGATTGACATCCACGTGAGGACCCAACCCTGTTACTGCTGAGCTACTTGGAAGAAACTGAATTGGAAGGGAGACAGTGACTGAGCGAAGCAACTTTCAAATAATTTTCTACCCTGGAGGCCACTTCACCCTGTATGGCAAAGAATTCTTCTCCTGTAGGAGGGAGGCTTCCAAATGCACAAATGCACAGACGCAGCAGCACTCCTTTATGGGAGCTGAGAATGAAGAAGCTTCTAGAAATCAAGGCAGCATAAGGTCTTATATAACAGGTTAACAGAGCATCAGTGTTAGGTCCAACATGCCATGGACATGCTCTGCATTTGTACAGGGAGGTGAGGAGCGCAGTGGGCTAGCAGTTTTCAATCAGAAGGATTTGACTGAGTCTGAGGTCCTTATTGGCCACTTAGCTAAGTGAACTTTCTCAAGTCAATAACCTTGCCAGCGTCAGTTTCATCATTGGAAAAAGAGGTTCAGAAATTATAGGGGCACTGTGAGCATTCAATGAGGTCTTTAGTGTTATAGTTCTTAGTACAATAGCAATCAACAGTAGCAACTAACACTAATTATGAAGCATTGTTTTAAAGTGTTTTGTGTGTGTGTGTGTGTGTGTGTGTGTGTGTGTTGAACTTAAATTAATCCTCACAAGAACCCAATGGGGGGAGTGGTAACTACCACTGTTATCACCCCTATTTTACTGATGAAGAGACTTAGGCACAGAGAAGCTCCGTAGTTGCTGTTGCCCCTGAGCTAAGCCAGGGTTTGCATCAGGGTAGGTTGGCTTTCCTGGCCAAGAGATCTTGTGTGGTCTCTTAATACCGAGGGAATTCTGGACATTATGGATCTGTGGATCCTTCTTGGAATGGATAAAGCAAAAGAAAGGAACAGAGGCAGGAGATGAGGGATGTAGGAGCCTAGGAAGTTGAAGGCAGTCATTTGCAGTTGAGAAACAGAGCAAGAGAAAACAATTTTAGTCACTAGTTCTCTCTAAAATAATATATGCCCCCATTTTCTAAAACTTTTGCAACCCATGGACCTGGCCAGTTTGCAATTTTGAACAGTCCCCACGATCTGTATCCACTACTTTTGAGGGCAAGCTAGACTCTCTTAACCCTGGTTAAAAAAGGCAGGGTATTGAGGCCATTAGGTGTTTATAAACCGCCACTTTAGCACCAATATGAAGTCCGTGGTGGCATTATGGCCGTGCATACAGCACTATAGTAACCTTTTAGCTGTGCAGACCAGCACTGCTTTGCAGGAGGGCGAAAGGGATGGATAAGTGAACTGGGAGCCTGCCCTGTAGCATGCGCTTGCTGAATGGATCAGTTCTCCTGTACCATTGGTCATCTTAACTCTGACCATGTACTGAGAGGACAGGACACTGAGAAGTGCAGCTTGGGACTAAGATAAGTTGAAGAATATGGAGACACTCTCCCATGCATGCTTTTTCTTCTGCTGAGCCTCGCAGGTGTGGACAGTGGAGAAGACACTGGCTCTCAGAGGATGCCTGGCTTTGCAGTGGACGCACGCAGCACCCCGGAAGGCTGTGCTGAGGCCGTTCAGTGACTGTCACTGTTGGGAGAGGGTGGCGGGGACAGAAGTTCCAGGAGGTGCTTGATGCAGGATAAACCAGAGCTGCATCTTCCCCAGAGGGAAATGAAGCAGTTTGCCATGCACACTCGGCACGTCAGCACAGGCCTTCACCTGGGAACCTGTTACAGATGAATCCAGAAAAGGGGCCAGGTGGGACTGTC